CTTTCAGCAAGTGATCGCATATGATAGGATCAGTCTTCCATGGGTAGGATCAATGTCTTACTGAAGGTCTGGAAGAGCTAGCTATGCACTTTCTCCTTTCTATCATTTTTGCCATTTGAGGACAGAGTATTTTTCATTCTTCTCATATATTTTATATCCTGACCATAGTTTCCCCACCCTTCTCTTCTCCCAGTAGTTCCCAAATCCTCCACCTCCTCTCCCCCAGATCCATTCCTTCTTCTTTCCCTTAAAAAAAAAAACCAAAAGAAAGAAAGAAAAAGAAAAAAAAAGAGTAGGCCCATCAGTATTATCAGTTGAACATGGCACAACAAATTACAATAAGACTGGGCACTAACCCTCTTGTCAGGGCAGGATAAAGCAACCCCGGGAGGAGGAAAAGGGTCCCAAGAACAGGCAAAAGAGTCGAGACACCCCCACCACTCCCTTGTTAGGAGTCCTGTGGTGGAAAGATATTTATGTAGTTGCATATAAACTTGTGGTAGGTTACAGAAGTTATAGGTGAAGGGGAGGTCAAGAAATCAGTGGGATCTACTTGGAGGTCAAAGCAGCCTTCAGGCGAACCCTGAAGACTCTCTGAATGCTTTCTCATGGCTGTCTTTTCCGGCTGTGTGCGTGATTTGCCTGGAGAATGGACTATGGTATGAGCTAACCTAGAATATAGTGTCTCCTTCAGATTCATCTGATGCTCTGTTTCAGAACACTGCTGTGGGCATAATGGGAATAGTTCCAGGACTCTTTCCAGTTTTTTCCCTCTAAACTCTCAAATAGACATGAACAGGTGTGTAACAGGCTCCCAGACATTAGCACAGCTGACATCATGACGGAAGTCCCATTCATGCCTCAGAACCCAGCATGTAGGTAGCACCATCTGCCAAACAATAGCAAAGACCTAATCCATCAAAGTACATAGTTATGGGAAAGTCCCAAAATGTACTAACCTTGCATTTTGGCTTCTGTAGTTCTTCTGAAGTATGTCAAGCTAGGATGGAGATTTTTTCTTATTTTTAATTGATTTTATTGAGCTATACATTTTTCTCTGCTCCCCTCTCTTCCTCTCCCCTCCCCTTCAACCCTCTACCATGATCCCCATGCTCCCTGTTTACTCAGGATATTTTGTCTTTTTCTACTTCCCATGTAGACCAATCCATGTATATCTCTCTTAGGGTCCTCAGTGTTGTCTAGGTTTGCTGGGATTGTAAACTGTAGGCTGGTTTTCTTTGTTTTATGTCTAAAAGTCACTTATGAGTGAGTACATATGATATTTGTCTTTCTGGGTTTGGGTTATCTCACTCAATATGATGTTTTCTAGATCCATCCATTTGCCTGCAAATTTCAAGATGTCATTATTTTTTTCTGCTGTGTAAATGTAACACATTTTTCTTATCCATTCTTTGGTTGAGGGCATTTAGGTTGTTTCCAGGTTCAGGCTATGACGAACAATGCTGCTATGAAGATGGTTGAGCACATGTCCTTGTGGGTATGATTGAGTATCCTTTGGGTATATACCCAAAAGTAGAATTGCCGGGTCTTGAGGAAAGTTGTTTCCTAATTTTCTGCAAAATTGCCATACTGATATCCAAAGGGGCTGTACCAGTTTGCACTCCCACCAGCAATGCAGGAGTGTTCCCTTTACCCTACAACCTCTCCAGCATGAGTTGTCATCGGTGTTTTTGATCTTGACCGTTCTTACAGGTGTAAAATGGAATCTCAGAGTTATTTTGATTTGCATTTCTCTGATGACTAAGGATGTTGAGCATTTCCTTAAGTGTCTTTCAGCCATTTTAAGTTCCTCTGTTGAGAGTTCTCTGTTTAGGTCTGTACTCCATTTTTTTTATTGGATTATTTGTTCTTTTGATGAGCAATTTCTTGAGTTCTTTGTATATTTTGGAGATCAGACCTCTGTCTGATGTGGGGTTAATGAAAATCTTTTCCCATTCTGTAGGCTGTCATTTTGTCTTGTTGACCGTGTCCTTTGCTTTACAGAAGCTTTTCAGTCTCAGGTGGTCCCATTTATTGTTTCTCTCAGTGTCTGTGCTGCTGGTGTTATATTTAGGAAGTGGTCTCCCATGCCAATGCATTCAAGTGTACTTCCCACTTTCTCTTCTATGAGGTTCAGTGTGGTTGGCTTTATGTTGAGGTCTTTGATCTATTTGGACTTGATTGTTGTGCATGGTGATAGCTATGGATCTATTTTCATTCTTCATGTTGAAATCCAGTTATGCCAGCACCATTTGTTGAATGTGCTTTCTTTTTCCTTTTTTTTTTCTGTCAAAAATCAGGTGTTCGTAGGTTTGTGGATTAATATCTGGTCTTTGATTTGGTTGAATTGGTCCTCCTGTCTGTTCTTATGCAAATACCAGGTTGTTTTCAGTTCTGTAGCTCTGTAGTAGAGTTTGAAGTCAGGGATTGTGATGCCTCCAAAAATTCTTGTATTGTACAGGATTGTTTTGGCTATCCTGGGTTTTTTGCTTTTTCATATGAAGTTGAGTACTCTTCTTTCAAGGTCTGTGAAGAATTTTGCTGGGCATTGCATTGAATCTGTTGATTGCTTTTGGTAAGATTGCCATTTTTACTATGCTAATTCTGACTACCCAAGAGCATGAGATATCTTTCCATTTTCTGGTGTCTTCTTCAATTTCTTTCTTTAAAGATTTAAAGTTCTTTACATACAGGTCTTCCACTTGTTTGGTTAGAGTTACTCCAAGATATTTTATGCTATTTGTGGCTATTGTGAAGGGTGATGATTCTCTGATGTCTTCTCAGCTCATTTATTACCTGTGTACAGGAGGGCTACTGACTTTTTGAGTTAATCTTGTATCCTGCTACATTACTGAAAGTGTTTATGAGTTGTAGAAGTTCCTTGGTAGAATTTTTGGGATCACTTATGTAAACTATCACATCATCAGCAAACAGTGAGAGTTTGACTTCTTTTTTCATTGGTATCCCCTTGATCTCTTTTTGGTGTCTTATTGCTCTAGCTAGGACCTCAAGAACTATATTGAATAGATATGGCGAGAGTGGACAACCTTGACTTGTTTCTGATTTCAGTGGGATCGCTGCAAGTTTCTCTCAATTTAGTTTGATGTTGGCTGTTGGCTTGCTGTATATTTTCTTTATTATGTTTAGGTATGTTACTTATATCTGCTCTCTCCAAGACTTGTATTATGAAGGGATGTTGTATTTTGTCAAAGGCTTTTACAGCGTCTAATGAGATGATCATGTGGTTTTTATTTTTCAGTTTGTTTATATGGTGGATTACATTGACAGATTTTTATATGTTGAACTATCCCTGCATCTTTGGGATGAAGCTGACTTGATCATGGTGGGTAATTTTCTGGATTTCCTCCTTGTCTGTTGTTATGTCCCCTTTTCATTTCTGATTTTGTTAATTTGGATATTCTCTCTCTGCCTTTTGGTTAGTTTGGTTAAAGGTTTGTCTATTTTGTTGATTTTCTCGAAGAACCAACTCTTTGTCTCATTGATTCTTTGTATTGTTTTCTTTGTTTCTATTTTGTTGATTTCAACTCTCAATTTAATTATTTCCTGGTGTCTAGTCCTCTTGGGTAAGTTTGCTTCTTTCTGTTCTAGAGATCCCAGGTGTCTAGCTGTCAGTCTGGTTCTCCAACCCTAAACGCAGAAGCCATTTCCCAAGACCTCAGTAGTACCATAAGTACTTCTTTTTTGATTATGATTCTATTTTCAGGAATATTTGACTTTATTTTTGAATGCAACTGAAACATTGTGTTCTTGTACTGCAGAAAAAGACTCTAATTTGGTATAACCTCAGAGACAGATAATTCTTTAAAATTGCTACAGCATATATACTTACTGGATCATGAGTTTCACTGTGGCCTGTGTGCAACTATCATGTGCTTTCATTCTGTCCTCTCCATTAGCCTCTCCTCTCCTCCACCCCCCGCTAGTTCCCTTCCTCTTTTTCAAAGTTCACCCTCTCTGCTTTTAGGAATAGAAGAACTAGAGCATATTTTAAATACTGTAAACATGAAAATAGAGAACTTCTGTATCTGGCTTTTGTTTTTTTGACCAGCATTTACTGTAGATTATTATGTGATGTCCCCTAGTAATTCTATTTTAATTAATGAGTTAAAATTTGCCTTCTAACTAATACCAGGTCAGTATATAAGGAGGTGAACAATTTCAGAACCCACTGTATCGTTCTAGTGCATTCCACTTCTACGGGCTGCGTGACTGTTCTAGTTAGGGTTCTGCTGCTGCGATGAAATGCCGTGACCAAAAAGCAGGCTGGGGAGGAAAGAGTTTATTTGTCTTATACTTCCGGATCATGGGCACCTTCAGAGGAAGTCAGGACAGGAACTCAAGCAGGGCAGGAACCTGGAGGCAGGCGCTGCTACAGTGGCCATGGAGGGGTGCAGCTTACAATTTGCTTTCCCTGGCTTGCTCAACCTGCTGGGCCCTCCCCCGTTGATCACTAATCGTGAAAATGCCCTACAGCTGGCTCTCATGGGAGCATTTCCTTAACCGAGGCTCCTTCATCTCTGATGACTCTAGCTTGTGTCAAGGTGACGCAAAACCAGCCAGTACAAAAGCTCTCACTCCTGTGATTACATTCTATGCCGTATAGTTATTTAATATGTTGTGTTCATATTCTGTTTCTAAAGAATAAAAGTTGTCTTACTTGCCATATAACATATGTATTTATATTTACAAAATCCCAAGGAGTATAGGAAATTCTGTTGGACTAGGCAGTCCTCTATGTGTGGCGACAAATATGGGAAAATGGTACCTTGAGACTATTTGAGATGCAGTTTGTTAGACATGGAAAGAGCCTTTGGTCCTCACTTCAGAGGCCTTTTCTCTACACACAAAAGGTCCCTGAACCTCGAGAAGAAGAAGAGACAGAGAATGAGTGTACAAGTTGTGGCTCCTCCCATTCCTCGGAGCTGTTTCTCAAGGGCTCTGTCATCACATCCCACAACGCAGGAAGAACCAAGAAGACGTTTGTTTACATCACATTTATTTCCTCCAGTGTTTATCTGCTGGGTTCTTTGCTTGGCAGTTTGGATGTGCCTGGCTCTTGGTTGATTTCCAAGTTTCCAGTTGCTGCTGTGGACTCTGGCGCTGAGGATGTCTGTCTCATAACTGTTGTTTCTCAGGCAACCGAGCTGAGCCCTGGAAGATAATGTACCGGTCAGGTGTCATGGAAGGTGTGCCTGTGATCATGTGACCCGCTTCAGGCTCCCATCCAGACATCCAACATAAATCAAGGGAAGAGAGACCCAACAGGAAAGAGTTCCGCTTCCATATCTAAATCAAAAGTGGGTTTTCAGAGACGACAAAAACTTTTTGACTAAAGTTGCCCTTTTAGAATGATGTAATCTTATTTTGAATATAAGAATTTATGTGTATTTTGATTATTTATTGGGAAATGGGATACATGATTTCAAAGGGGACACTTAAGAAAATACATAGTCACTGTACTAAGACTCAGGCAGGTGAAGTTTTCCCTATCACATCAGACCATGTCTTGAGAAGAATTTTCTGAGAGCCCTGGAGGTGTTCATGGAGAGGGAAGCATCTGAGGAAGTCTCCTATATATGGAAATGATCCTATGCAAAGGAGTGTTAAGAGGGTTGAGGAAATGGTGTGTTGGTTTAACAGTGTCTGTCAGGGTGCACCACACTCAACTGCATTATTACAAAGAATCTGAAGGCAATCGAGTTCCTTTAAACGTTTATATTTTTACCCGTAGACAAATGCTCCTCTCACCTTGAGTCAGTGAAGTCTCTCTGCAATGAACGGTGATTAGTGAAGAGGTGCATGGCCACTCAAGGTGCTCAAAGGGACTGTGACAGTTGAGCGTTCAGCTCTAAACAGGATATTTATACTCCCCCCTCATAAGGCTTAGGGAACACTGCAGAAGTGGGGAGGGAAGAACGTAGGTGTTGGAAAGACAGGGTAAATGGCTGCCAGATACTGTCTTATGGGCCCATATGACACAGCCAATATGGCCATGACTTCATAGCAGTTATGGATGCCTAACAGGAAACCTATGCAAGACTTGGCCTATTGAGAGTCAGTTATGGGTTGGGGATGATGGGACCCCCACCTCTACCTATTGAACTATTGAATTCTGGGGGAGAGGCAGTAATTTTTTTTTTTAGTTGTGTACCCACTAAAGAGTCCACCAGGCTCTAATGGATAATTCTAAACCCATGGCCACACAAACAACTCTGGATAAACTCAGTTGATCTCAACAAAACAACAGCAATAAAAGTCATGACTGTGGAAAGGAGGACTGCAGAGAGGAGCAGATTAGAAGGCGGGGAAGACTAGAAAGGGGGTTATATGCTGTGTGAAACTGTCAAAGAGCAAACTTGATAAAAGAAGCCTGCTTTGCATGTCTATCTAGTGTTTGACTCTTGATACTGAATTAAGTTCCCAAAGTAGCACGAGTCTCTAAAACACTTTCTGTAAACAAAGAGCGGCTTCACATTCGTTAGGATTTTAACCTCTCCACTGTTCCATTTCTTTAGCTCTTGCTTTGAACACTCTTTCCTATACAGAACCATCTATGGCTGGCACATTATGTTTAGTTCTTTGTCTTGACCAGAGAGATCAGAAGAACACGGACTGGCCCTGCCCTCACCTGTTTTTTCTGCTTCATCACCTTTGCTCTGGACTATCCTTGTTAGCTAGAATAATCCTTTGCCATGTTGTCAAGAGTACCTAGGGAGTCTGGGTTCCTGCTATGCAAAGCAGGGCAGTCAGGAAGGGTAGGCAGGAAAGGGTATTTGAGTAAATACCTGGAAGAAACACAGGAATACTTCCTTGATGACAAAGTTAGAGTCTAGGGTAGAAGGCTGGTGGTCATCGAGTTAACATTTCGGGTTGTAGGAATGGCTTCTGATGGCTGTTCTCCAGAGTTGAGCTGTGATCTTTCTTTGGGGCTGTAGAGAGATCTGGAGGCTTGAAGTTTCTGTACCAAATAAGGGGAATGGTAGATCATGAAGGAACGAGATCCCAGTCTTCCTACCCCTTCACATTCTCTGCTGTCTTTGAGCATTCATGCCAGCAGCAGAAATGGGCATTCTTGATTCTGGGCTTCCAGTTCCATGAGGTAAAAATGCCCTTGTTGGGCATTAGAATTAAGGGTCATAAGTCATCATGGCCAAATGTTCATTAGGAAAATGCCTCTGGCTTGGTTCAGAGGGATATTAACATAGGATGATAGATTTAGAGGAGTTTTGGTCAATCATTATTGTTCCTCATAGCAAAGGTTTATAACAATTAAATTTAGAGTTTCTGTAAAAACTTATTGCATATCAGTGTTCTTTACATGATAAGCACTGATCAAGTCAAAGAATAATTACCAGTCTGCTTCAAAGGGTATACTTGTGCTGATCATGGGGGTATAGATCTGTAATTCTAGCCATGTAGGAGGCTGACGCAGGCGGAGTCTAAGTTCAAGGCCTTTTGAGGCTGCTGAATGAGTTTGAGGCCAGCCCGGGCAACTTTGTTAGACCACACTTCAAAATGAAAAGTGCAAAAAAGAGAGCTGGAGATACAGCTCCATTGTAGAGCATTTTCCTGGCAAGCACAGAGTCCTGGGTTCAAGACCCCATGCTGTGAAAAGTGAATATATAATAGTTGGAACGACTTTGTCTTGTAAGACTAACATTCTGAGAGGGACAAATTGTGTTTCTTTGGGGGTCTAGAGAGCTTACCTTTTCCAGTTCTTGGTTTAGGCAGGGCTTACCTGAAACATATCAAACAGATTTTTTAAAAATATCTTCAAATCCACCTGAAGTATAATGCTGTAGTCTTTTTTCATTACTCACCAAAAACTTTCAGGTGTTGCTGTTGGAAGTCATTCATGGTGCTTAAATTAAATCTCTAGCTGGTGGCTGGATCTTTTTCCCTAGTCTGTGCCCAGTGTTGGGGCCCAGGACTGTCGAGCTTCCATTACTTTTGTTTACAACCTGCTAAGGAAGCCCTTGATTCCTCCTCATTCTTCATGACTTTTCTTTCCAATTCATCGTCTTTCTATGTGACCTTATCATTAGCTGTGACATCATATGGGAGGCAGAGGGACAGAAACTCAGAATTCAAGCCCACTCTTTGGTTCGATGAGAATTTCCCAAAATCTGTTCTGATGAGATAGATCCAGGGCTGACCATGGGATTTCAGGAATTTCTGATAGGGGTTCTGGATGGAGGAAGAAGCCTCGACTTTGCTGCTTACCATCAGTTGAGAGTGAGGGAGGACCACCTCCCGCTCTGTCAGGAGGGCATGTGTCACAGCTACAGGCTTCTCAAGGCAGGCTCATAGCTAACTACATTTCTGGCCACCATACCCATATCCAGGTAGATGCTATTCCTTTTTCCAGACCATCAGAAGAGGGCCACTTACCCTGTCCTGGGGGGTACAGGTGGCACAGATGGCACAGAACGGTTGCTCATGCCTGAGGAAGGAGACATTCTGTTACAGGGGTCCAGAAATGTCTCCCCAGTTGTCAAGCTCACATTTCCAGTTAAAAGTCTAGGCAGCCAGAGAGGGAGGGGCCAGACTTATGGTAGCATAGAATCTGTCAGAAGGGTGTAGGATGTGGCACCAGACTGCAGGAAAGCATGGACAGTTGTGGCACTGGACATTTCTGCTCAGTCATTGCTGGTAAGCCAACTGCCTCAGTCTCAGACTGTCGCTGGAGAAACTGTTTCCTGGTTTCTTACTTTTTATAGCACTTCTTTTGGTGGGGGATGTAGTGTTAGAAAGTGGTGTGTGTGTGTGTGTGTGTGTGTGTGTGTGTGTGTGTAGACTAGAGACCAACCTCACATGTTGTTCCTCAGGTGCTGTCTACCTTGCTTTTTGAGACAGGATCTCTTACTGGCCTAGAACTCACCAAGTAAGAGTCGGACAGAAAGCCCCAAGAATCCGCTGGCCTTCACTGCCCCATTGCTGAGATTGCAAGCACATGTATCCACACTCAGCTTTTAAAGCTGGGCTTGAACTCAGGTCCTCATGCTTCCTGGCAAGTACTTTACTGACAGAATTTTCCCTAGCCTGTGTATTTTATTTTATCTGGGACAGGATATGATGATCTTGAACTCATATGTAGCCAAGGATGGCCTTGAACTCTTGATCCTCCTGCCTCTACCTTCTCAGTGTTTGTGAATTATAGGCATTATGTGATGCAAAGTATTGACCCCAGAGCTTTGAGCATGCAAGTTGAAAACTCTTCCCAATTGAGCTACATTTTCAGCTATGGAAAACGGATATTTTTCATCAACCAAAATTTATCACCTGTTCCCCTTTAGGAAACAGAATAGCAATAGCAGCAGTTTGATCCTAAGCCAATGTTCAGCTTGATGGGAAGGAAGCCAGAGTCCAGCTGTGATCCAGATAGTGGATCTTCAGATGAGACTTTGGGATAAACCCCTTACTCTCAAATTCTACACCTTATTGCCACAGCCAAACCTTGACATCTTTCTTTTACCTCGAATCCGAGCATCTTCCTGAAGCTGAAAGAGAGTGAGGATTCAGTGGTCAGAGACTTAGAAGATTGGTACCCCTGAGTCTTCATTGTGCTGACCACAGACTGGCCAGATGTAGAGGTGTCTGACCGTGGGGCACAGACATATGGTGTGGTGGCTTGAAAGCAAATGTCCCCTAAAGAGAGTGGCACTACTAGGAGGTGTGACCTTGGAGTAGCTCTCGTTTTGTTGGAGGAAGTGTGTCACTGTGGAGGCCAACTGTGAGGTCCCATATATACTAAAGCCACACCCAGTGTTTCAGTTCACTTCCTGTTGCCTTCAAGATGTGGACCTCTCAGTTCCTTTCCCAGCACCGTGTCTGCCTGCATGCTGCCATGTCCAGCCGTGATGATAATGGACTAAACCTCTGAATCTCTAAGCCACCCCAATGAAATGTTTTCCTTTACAAGAGTTGCTGTGGTCACGGTGTTTCCTCACAGCAGTAGAAACCCTAACTAAGACCTATGGATGGAACTCTATGTTCCCTAAAAGCTAAGTTTGTATCCCTCAAAAACTGGCTGCTCCAGATGATGCCTTATCTACAACACACGGCCAATAGACGCTGGCTAATAATAATGAACTGGGAGACACAGCTCATTTCTTAGCAGCCCGACAGCACATTTATTTTCTTCCAGCTTTTCTACTTTGACTTTTATCCCCCCTTTAGCTTTTCTCATTGCTGTGGAATAATCCTTTTCTACACTATCAATATGTATTACTCTCATTGGTTAATAAAAAGCAGACAGGCCATTAGCTGGGCAGGAAATTAGGCAGGAAAGCCTAACTGAGAATGATGGGAAGGAGGAGGGCGGAGTCAGGGGATACCAGCCAACCACTCAGGAAGCAAGACATGCTAAGGACAGGTAGGAATAAGGATAGGAGAGAGAGAGGGAGGAAGAGGAAGGAAAGGAAGGATGTGCGACAGGGGACTTGGTGGGTCGGAGGGGCCACAACATTCTGAACAAGCTCAGCCTCTGGGGCAAGGCGAGCAATACAACTCCTGCTTCAGTGTAACGTTTAAATATTTGATCAGTGTTTAGAAAGGAAATTGCATAGAGGACAAAATTTAGACCTGGGCTATTATAATTCACACCTCCCTGTAGTTAAGAGGCACAAGGGGTCCAAGGCTGTTTACTATGCTACCCAGAGGGTTTCTCTCAGTGAAGTCCCTGATCAGCATTTCATATGATCACATCAGTAATTCTCTTGAGAGAATTTCTGGTAAATCAATTCCTACCCTGCCCCAGTATTTAAGTATGGTTCTTCCGAGGGAGTTGTTAGGCAGCATCTTGCCTCAGTTGCCTGGGGTGACAAGTTAGTCGACGTCATTGAAACGAACACCTTGCTAAGTGTTTACATCTCAGCAGGACATGGAAGAAAAATATTTAAAAACAGGGAATTTAGAGAGTAAAAATTTAACCTCACCTCCTTTTGGATGCCTTTAAAAGCTGTTAGCACCTGACAGAAGAAAAAGAAATACATACACACAAGATTAGTATTGCAAACTATCACCTCATCAGAGGGAACTTATATATAAAATGAATATTTTATATATAATATAAATATATTTATATTATAAATGAAGTGCCCTGACCTCCCAGTTTATAGTGTATTATTTTATATCATACCTAATTGCTCCAGTGTGTACAGTGTGAGTTCCAACAGGCTGGGGCTTTTTAGCCCCAGGAATAACTCACAGTGACTTCAACTCTATATAGATCTCCAAGCCACTGCTCAGTGTGATGAGTGGATGTTAGAGAGCAAAGAAGGTTAGTGAAACTCAACATTATATTTCATTCCTAGTTAACCAGTCCTTCTTTTGCTGAAACTGAGCACAGCTACTAAAATGAGTACCGTTGGCCATGCTGGTGCCCGCTAGCAGCCAGTGCAGAAGATGCTGCGGAGAGGTCAGCCTGAGCTATACCTTTAAGGACCTCTGGGTAACATGGCGGTTAGAGGTTGCCTTTCTGTGACGTGTGAGGGAGAAGGACCAGGATAAGTAAGAACAGACTGTTCCAGTGAGAACTTTGGAAGAGCACCAGAAACCTATAAAGGGATGGGTCAGTGGAAAGTGTGTGAAATGAACACACACGGCGGCAAGTTCTGTAAAATCTCCCTCAGATAAACAGCCAGCACAGCCAGCGAATGGCCCCTGGCCACACTGGGATGGGGGTAGACATGAATTTCCCATTGCTGCGAAGAGAAAGCAAGACTGAGACAAATGCTAAAAGAGAGCATTTAGTTGGGTTTGCTTCTAGATTCAGAGGGTAAGTCCGTGGACTATCGTTGTGGGAAGAACAGCAGTAAGCAGACAGACATACTTACATCTGACCCACAAGGAAGAAGCAGAGAGAAGGACTGGGCTTGGCATGGGCTTTTGAAATCTCAAAGCCAACTCATAGTGACATACCTCCTTCACCAAGGCCCTTCCTCCTAGTCCTTCCTAAATAGTCTACCAACTGAGAACCAAACATTCAAATAAGTGAGCCTGTGGGGACATTCCTATTCAAACAACCATATGAGGTCAGTGGTAGGTGCCGGGAAGGTGCTGTACACCACATGCGCATCCCCAGACAGGAGCACTTTAAAAATCATGTTGTAGAGACTTTTCTATTGGTATGAGAAGACCCCATGATCAAAGCCACTTATAGAAGAAATAATTTTTATGGGGCTTAAGGTTTCAGAGTGTTAGAGTCTGTGATCACCATGGTAGGTGGGAAGTCTGGCAGCACATAGGCAGCCATGGCTAAGAGCTTACCTTTTGATCTACAGAGATAGATCTACAGAGATAGATAGATAGAGAGATAGAGATAGATAAATAGATAGCACTAACTAGGAACAGCATGGACTTTTGAAACCTCAAAGCCCACACCCTAGTGACACACCTCCTATTTCTTTCCAAAAAGTTCCCCTGACTGAGAAACAAATATTCAAACAGACGAACCTATGAGCCATTCTCATTCACACCACCACAGACGTCAAGCTGGAGAGAGGCTGAGCAGAGTGTGGGAACACAGCACTGAGCTAGGTGTACCGAAGAGGAGCGATGGCGGGGACAGCTCTGGCCTCAGGCACTGGCGACAGTGTGACGCAATGGTCTACAGCGAAGAGTGTCCTGGAGTGTCTAGCCCAAGGAATGCACAGAAAACTTCTCCACCCTGGGTTTTCATCTAAACCCTTGTAGACGGAGGTGGTGAAAACCATCTAAATAGTTCATCTAAACTGGCTTGGAAATGCACGTTTGTGCTCCCTTTGCGTCACTGGGTCCCACTGAGCCCATGGGAGTGACCAAACCTGCACTTACGAGTCTGTGGTGGGTACTCATCCCTGAAGGGGTCAACAGCTATGAAACAGGAGTCTGGTCAGGGCCAGACTGGCGGGTGTTGGGCGCTGAACAAAGATGTACAGGTGTGGGGGGCTTTAGTGGACGTGGGGTCCAAAAAGTGATAGAAAAAGGCGGAAGGGGCAGGCTGACCTTCCTCACTAATCTGCTTCACCTGCTCTTCTCCCACACGTCACTGTGCTGTCACAAGCAATCCTGTGTACTTACCTGGTCCCACAGGGTTTCAGTGATTGTCAACTCCCTTTCCTGTCGAAACAACAAGACAAACCTTGGCAACATTATCCAAACTCCCCAAGAATCTGACGGGACATGACATGAAGTGGTGGAATAAAAGACACTTCTTGGAACTGAGATGAAATTCTAAGAGTTATTCTATTTTTCCCAGGTAGCTCAGAGCCCTATAAACACCCAATAAAACATTTACCTGCTTTATCCACACCCAGGAGCCTGCCTGGAACTGTCGGGTATGGAAATGGCACGGGCATTATGACATATCATCCTCACTACACAGCTTTTCTGCCTCCTGACCAGAGCCACCTCTTCTCCCCACCCCCAGAATCCAGGAGTCCCCTAAGAAACCAACACACGAGGTTGTCTTACCCACCTGTGATTTTATTGCCTCTTCAATGGATGTGCTGGAAAGAGGGAGACTTGTAAAGAGAAGCAGGGAAGATAATTTAGAAAAAAAACTCCATTGTACTAGCGAGAATGCTTAGACTTTAGGAAGAGCCATGGTCCCACATCTTATATTCCCCTTAGGGCTCCATCTTCTTGGTAGCCTGACTGTTATCCAGAACTTGGAGAATGCCACAGAGCAGCAAGGGTGAAGGCAGCACCTTACCATCCTAGCTACATCCTTCTGCCCATCCTAGCTACACCCTACTCTTGTCTTTGGACCGCCTAGAACCCTTTCGAGGAAGTGCACACAATAAAAAACTGTTGTCTTCCTGTCCCCAGTTGTATTCTAAGCTTCCTTCATGACTTCTGATAGGTTTGGGGTGGAAGCCGAAGAAGAACTTGAAAAACTTTGCTATTCTGGAAAGCGGAACTGAAGTTCTTATTGTTTTCCTCAAATGTCTCACTTATTAGAAAACACAATTCTTAGAAAATACAATTCTGGAGAAAGACGACGCAAGGGGAAGCGGGTGTTACAGCGCAGAGGCCTCTTTCAGTCAGGGACCCAGAGCGTCAAAATAAAACGAGGTATAGGTAAAAAGCCAGTAGCACATTGATAGCCCAATAAGGACTTATTCCTAAACACTGCTGTGTTGTGGAATAGAATATTTGCTTAACTATGTAGAGATGTGTTACATTTGCTTGGGCTGCATTTGTTTAATTATGTAAAGGTGTGTTGCATAAGGCACCTGGTTGGTCTAAAAGCTAGGCAGAGGGATAGTGGGGCTAGCGGGTAGAGAGAAAGGGGAGCCGGCCAGGCATGGAGGAAGCAGGACAGCAGGATGGACAGTATGTAGGTGAGGTAAAGGAGCCTTGGGGCAGCCCATAGATTAATGGAAATGGGTTAGGTTAAAAAAAAAAAAACTGCCTAGAACCAAGCCTAAGCTAAGGTCGAACACTCATAATTAATAAGTGTCACGATCTGGGGGCTGGTGGTCCAAGCAAGCCTGCTACGCTAGTCGCATGTCAGAGCCAGCCTGGAGAGGGAATGGACGAATATGGGGTAGGTGAGTGACAGAGGGCGCGGAATGAAGATGGGTGAAACACGGGCAACCAGTGATCTACCATTCTATCGGCTCCCAAACAAACTGATCTCAGGTCTCCTGGCCACGTGAGGATTTGTGTAGGGATGACACACCAAAGGAACCAGGGGACTGGGAATAATCCAGAAGAGCCAAGGTTTCAGGCACCTCTGGATAGAGTCCCTCAGGTAGGATTGATGAGAGGGTGAAAGTTGGAGGAAAGACATGTTTAAGAATCTGAGGACCCTGACGGTTCTGTCTAAGGTCCTGCTTGACCTGTTCCTGCCACAAGAAAGCAGCCTTTCCAAGGGACAGCGTGAAGACCTGTAACCCCAGGAAATCTGGGAACACAGAGGATAGCAAGGAATCCCCAAAGGACAGTGAGCTCAGAAGATCTCTACTTAAGAGAGGACTCTTAATGAGCATGTTTTCAGGATGCAACAGGGTAGAAACCTCCCTGAGAATCATCGGGTGACTCATGTGGAGACCTCTGCTGGAGAATCTTATTTCTCCACGGAACCCGAGGACAGCTGTCCCTCACTCCAGTTCAAGCCAAGGTTTTCTTCTAAAATACCCCAATTCTTTTCCTGCCATGGGGTTCCCTACATCTGTTCCAGGGCATATAGAGAGAACAGAACTAGGGTCCACCTGGGCTTTGTTTTCGGAGTTTTCTTTTCTTTTCTTTCTTTCTTTTTTTTTTTTTTTTTGAGATAGGGTTTCTTTCCTGGAACTAGCTCTCGTAGACCAGGCTGGCCTTGAATTCACAGAGATCCACCTGCCTCTGCGTCCCAAGTGTTGGGATTAGAGGAATGCGCCACCACCGCCCAGAGGTATTCTATTTTTAATTATATGTAGGGGTGTGTGTGTGTGTGTGTGTGTGTGTGTGTGTGTGTGTGTATGCATATGAGTGTGGGTTCCTTTGAAGGCCAGAGGTATCAGATCACCCTGAAACTGGAGTTGCCCTGATTATAAGCTGTTTTGGCATGGGTACTGGGACTTGAACTTGGGACCTCTGTAAGAGCAGTACGTCCTCCTAACCACTGAGCCGTTTTTTCCCCTCCCACATTGATTTTTTTTTGTTGCTTTATAAATAATACCATTCAACGTTTCCACTTTCTCCCCTCCTTTCTTTTCCCTCTTCCTTCCCCACTCACCCTCTCCCTTCCCCCACCAGTCCTAAGAGAGGGCAGGGTACTCTGCCCGTCCCACATTGATTTTTAATCCAAATTCTTTTAAACAGAAATGATGACTAATTATACTTGGTGAGGGCAGTGGGACAACTTCTCTCTCTGTGTAGTATTGACAGGAAGATGGAGAGACAGAAATGAGAACAGAGAAGAGGCGCACCAGGAGCAGGAGGCAGAGACTCGTGGAAGCATGACCTGAACTTACGGCAGAAAGAGACGGACCCTTCATTAAGTGGGCACTGACCCACATTCTGCCTGGAGGCATCCCGTGAAGCAGCTGTGGGTGGCTCACTCTGCAGAGCAGCAATCCAGGCTGCGACACACGCTTGCTATCAGAGAGCCGCTTGGATGCCAACTCAGGCCCTTCTGCTTCCACCTTACTCTTTTGATTGCGGTCAACGGTGTTAGTTACTGCAGCCTGCTTGTTTTGTAGCTGAGTGCGTGGAAAGCTGATTACATTACAGTTAGAAGAATGGGATTTGGGGCCAGCATTCTAGCCCTTTTGCCAAGTCCCTTTGCCTGGATGAGTTTGCTTCCTCATCTATGAAACAAGGGGAATGACCTCAATTCTGGGGTTTGGAGAATGGCAGAAAGAAAGCCTTTGTAACAGCGAAGCTCCTTTCAAGCCTCACTGTGATCTGTGCTTGTTTTCAGTGTCTTGTCCACTTCTACACCACAACGGAACAAATAAGCCTGTTCTTCAGTAGAGATCTCAGTTCTCTGCGGTGGCTTATGTGCTTGTTCATATAAAATATCAAGAGAGTCACCATTTCATTCTTGGGGTCAGGAGTTGTTCAGAAAACAGTTCTTCCCATTTGCTAAGATTCAGTCTCTGGGTTCCTTGTTCAACCTCAGGCCTGAGGCAAATTTAACCATCTGGAGAACTGAGGACAGGTGGTCTGCAGACCTATGACCTGCCTGCCCTCTGCGAGTTCCTACAAACTCTTACCTCAAAGCATCTGTCATGTGTTTCAAGGACTTAAGTTCTAGTTTCTTCCTGAAACTTTCCTGATATATAAGCCCACAGCAAACTTTCCCTTTACTTTAGTTAATGTTTCTGGGTCTTGTATTTAGCTTCTTTTATTTAACAGAAATGTCTGTTCTTTTTTTTTAAATATTTATTTATTTGCTATCCTAGTCTAAGGGAAACACAGTGTTGAATGTCTGGCTATGATTCACGCTGTGGAGGACATAAAAAACTCAGAGAACATTGACCCTGGAATGATAGTCCTAAGGTGTAGTACCCAGCCAACCCTCAGGGGAAATGCCATAACTAGCCACCTTCTTGGACCGAATGCAAAGACTATTTATTGCCCTCCCACCAAAGAGATAAGGGGAATGCAGAAGTCCCCATTTACCCCACCGTAGGTACAGCCAGATGGAGATGGGAAGCAGGGGAGCTGCTGTTCCTCCCACAGACAAACCTAACCAAAGGGCCCTTGAGGGACGTTGGTGGCCCGACCTACTTTCTCTGCTGTTCAGATGTCATTCTTGCCCTTGTTTTTGATATGGCCAGGCCTCTGGATCTTAAGATGGAGACAGGTTGGGCCCTGCAATAAATAAGAGGAGACTCCCTTAGATGTACGGAGAGAAGAAAGCAGTCGCTCTCTGAGAAGTATGCTGTGCCACGGCTGAAGTAGTTCAGGAAATGTCCTTGTTTTGAGTGGGTCAGTGTGTGTGTGTGTGTGTGTGTGTGTGTGTGTGTGTGTGTGTTATGCATAAAGAAAGATAAAATTGAGCAGTGGGAGGCATTTGACCTAGGAAAGCTTCCCTTCATAACCGGAGAAACTCATATAAGACTGTAGGAAAGAGGATGGACAGAGGTTCCTTGAGCTGAGATGGGATCCAGGCAAGGATAGAAAACAACATTTAAAACAAGCAAATTTGAAATTAGTCACCTACAGAGGGTGGAAACACCTACAGAGGGTCAGTCAGCTCTAGCCTTCAAGTGCTTTGAAGAGGGGAAAGGAAAACCATAGTCAATACACTTGGGCCTTGACCCGAGTGGTAATGTGGGTAAAGGACAAACCCTGCTTTGATGGGTCCCATTCTACTTTCCTCACGGACATTCTTCCTCACTCTCCAAACCATCAGAACAGGCCACTTAGCCCAGACACTCACCTGGCCACACTTAGCACCCCTTCCCCGTCTACGCTTTCTTCCCTCTGAGACTCATATCACAGCAGTCCCCCGATGTTCACCTGCCCCTCCCAACACTTTGTGACTTCAGCTATGACATCATAGTGATGTGATGGGTCAATCGGCTCTCTCCTAGACTCACCTCAGGTCTTCTTACCTCGGCTTGATAATAGTGCAATGAAGAGAAAGTATAAAATGTTAAGCTTAATTTCTGGAGACGTTGACTCCTTTGTTTTCCTCTATTAGTTCTATAAAACATCCCCACTGAGTTTTAGAATGAGCCCCAAAGTAGAATTTTAAAAGAGGGCATGAAAAATATGACTTCAAGATTTCTGTAAAAATAAACCTTTTTGTTCCAAACTCCAGAAGGTTTTGACTTGGAAAATCACCAAACATTGTTGAATGATAATGAATACAAATCTAATATGCCGAAAAAGTATTCTAAGAAGCATGAGGACCAAGGTCTTGCTGCTCCCGTGACAAGACCCTCCAGGAAGGAGCAGCCTAAAAGAAGTCTAGTGTCAATGTGGGACATTCCCAGCAAAGTAGGAACTTTGACTTGTGTTTAGGTAGACAGGATTTGAGATAGGACATTCCAGAGCCCCAAATTTGCCTAGCTGATGGTGGGAAAGATTCAACACTGCCTCAGCAGAGTGCTAAAGATCCATCTGAAATCTGAAGTGGAGTCACAGTACATTCAACCTGTGACAAAATGGCAGGACAGACCTACTGATAGAAGCTTGGACATCTGGTGACTCTCATGCCTATTTCCACCATGATTTATGGAAAAGGTTGGGTTGATTCTAGAACTTCTGCTGTTACTAGTGAGAACACCATAGGCTGTCTGAACATCATTTTCCACTATGATTGCCTATAGGATTAGTTCCAAGAAAAAAACTAACTAGAGTCTACTACCCGTCTGAGCACCAGGACCCCTCCTTTCTTATTTACCTCAGTTTCCATGCAGTCCAAGTTCCTCTTTCATTTTCCCTCGTCATATAGATTTTTATCTCTTTTGGCTAGACGTATTCCACAAATCAATGGAAACTTCCACTCTATCCAAAATTAAATTCTTAATTCCACCCACCCAGAGACCCATTCTCAGTGGTCACATAAGATGGTTCACCTGACAACACAGGTCAAAAGCCGTAGACTCATTGCCCCCTTTTTTTCTGTCTTACATCAGAGCTTCCTACTGGATGTACTACAAAGTGTGTGTGTATCACTTTTCATGGCCTCTAGATAAGCCATGCTTGTTTCCTGAGCTGTTGCAAAGCCTCTCAATGAGACCATTTTTATATTCCTGAAGTAGTCAGAACGAGCACTGCATAGATCACATCACTTCCACTCCCAAAATCTCGTGTTTCCTTTGCTTCATGCTCAGGATGCACCCAGGCTGATGCTTCACGCTCAGGAAACATTCAGGTTGGTGCTCTATGCTCAGGGCACATCCAAGCTGGTGTTCCATGCTCAGGGAAATCCAGGTTGTGCTCCACACTCAGGACACATCCAGTCTGGTGCTCCACACTCAGGACACATCCAGGCTGGTGCTCCATGCTCAGGACACACCCAGGCTGGTTCTTCATGCTCAGGGCACATCCAGGCTGATGCTCCACTGTCAAGACACACTCAGGCTGGTGCTCCACTGTCAGGACACATCCAGGTTGGTGCTCCATGCTCAGGGTACATCCAGACTCGTGCTCCACACTCGGGACATATCCAGGCTGGTGATCCATACTCAGGACACATCCAGGCTGGTGCTCCACACTCAGGACACATCCAGGCTGGTGCTCCACGCTTAGGACACATTCAGGCTGGCTCCAGATGGATTTTTCTCCTCACCATCTCCTGCTCATTTTCAATTTACACTGACTTTCTTCCTTTAAGTGCTAAGAGTATACTTTCCCCTTTTCCCCAGGGCATTCTTCTAAACATTCATTGGTCTCTACTCAAATGACATTTCCACAGAGGCTTCTTCCTCTAGCCCCTATCTAATGCAGCAGTCACAACCACTTAAAAGCCTTTATTCATTTGCTTTTTCTTTACCTTTAAAATTTTATTTTTATTGAAATTTTATTTTATTGAAACTTTATTCTACAAAGTTATTTTCATATAGTTTATTCTGACCACAATTTCCCTTCCCTCATCTCCTTCCAGATTCTTCCCATTTCCTCACCCTCCGAATGCCACACCTTCTTTCTCTCTGAAGAACACAAACAGGCAAATAAAAACACACAAACAAGAATAGAACAAAATGATCCCTCAAATGGTCCTTAGTGTTAACTGTCCCTCCCTAACTCCTCTTCTTTCCCAACTCAGTTTAATACCCCCAGTGTGGTTCCCACTTGTTTCTCTCTAACTATATATGCCATTTTCCCTGCCTTGGAAGAGGCTTCCTCTCAACTCCTAGCTCAATACTCTATATCTGACCTCTGTGATCATTCAGATATGAGCATGCTTATCAAAGGATTAGAAGCTAACATTCACATAGATAAGAATACATGCTAATATACAGCAAACCGTCAGCTAACATCAAATTGAATGGAGAGAAACTCAAAGCCTTTCCACTAAAATCAGGAACACGACAAGGCTGTCCACTCTCACCATTCCTCTTCAATATAGTGCTTGAAGTTCTAGCAATAGCAATAAGACAACATAAGGGGATCAAGGGGATTCAAATTGGAAAAGATGAAGTTAAACTTTCGTTATTTGCAGACGATATGATAGTGTACATCAGTGACCCCAAAAACTCTACCAAAGAACTCCTACAGTTGATAAACACCTTTAGTAATGTGGCAGGATACAAGATCAACTCCAAAAAATCGGTAGCCCTCCTATACACAAAGGATAAAGAAGCAGAGAGGGAAATCAGAGAAACATCACCTTTCATGATAGCCACAAATAGCATAAAATATCTTGGGGTAACTCTAACCAAGGAAGTGAAAGACCTATTTGACAAGAACTTTAAGTCTTTGAAGAAAGACATTGAGGAGGATACCAGAAAATGGAAAGACCTTCCCTGCTCTTGGATAGGGAGAATCAACATAGTAAAAATGGCAATTCTACCAAAAGCAATCTATAGATTCAATGCAATTCCCATCAAAATCCCATCAAACTTCTTTACAGACCTTGAGAGAACAATAATCAAGTTTATATGGAAAAACAAAAAACCCAGGATAGCCAAAACAATCTTATACAATAAAGGAACCTCTGGAGGCATTACCATCCCTGACTTCAAACTGTATTACAGAGCAACAGTATTGAAAACAGCTTGGTATTGGCATAACAACAGAGAAGTCGACCTATGGAATCGAATAGAAGACCCGGGTATTAACCCACAAACTTATGAACACCTGATTTTTGACAAGGGAGCTAAAGCTATACAATGGAAGAAAGATAGCATCTTTAACAAATGGTGCTGGCATAACTGGATGTCAACCTGTAGAAGAATGAAAATAGATCCATATCTATCACCATGCACAAAACTCAGGTCCAAATGGATAAAAGACATCAACATTAATCCGACCACTTTGAACCTGATAGAAGAGAAAGTGGGAAGTAGTCTACAAGATATAGGCACAGGAGATCACTTCCTAAGCAGAACCCCAGGAGCGCAGACAATAAGAGAAACAATAAATAAATGGGACCTACTGAAACTGAGAAGCTTCTGTAAAGCAAAGGAGACTGTCAGTAAGACAAAAAGGCTACCTTCTGACTGGGAAAAGATCTTCACAAACCCTGCAACAGATAAAGGTCTGATCTCCAAAATATACAAAGAACTCAAGAAACTAGACACTAAAACTCTAATTAACCCAATTAAAAAATGGGGTACTGAACTGAACAGAGAATTCACAACAGATGAACTTCGAAGGGCTAAAAAGCACTTAAGGTCATGCTCAACCTCCTTAGCGATCAGGGAAATGCAAATCAAAACAACTTTGAGATATCATCTTACACCTGTCAGAATAGCCAAACTCAAAAACACCAATGATAGCCTATGCTGGAGAGGATGTGGAATGAGGGGAACACTCATCCATTGTTGGTGGGAATGCAAACTTGTGCAGCCACTGTGGAAATCAGTGTGGCGGTTTCTCAGGAAACTGGGAGTCAACCTCCCTCAGGACCCAGCAATTCCACTCTTGGGAATATACCCTAGAGATTCCCTAACATACTACAAAAGCATTTGTTCTACTATGTTCATAGCAGCACTATTTGTAATAGCCAGAACCTGGAAACAGCCTAGGTGCCCCTCAATAGAAGAATGGTTAAAAAAGGTGTGGAACATATACACATTAGAGTTTTACTCAGCGGTAAAAAACAATGACATCTTGAATTTTGCATGCAAATGGATGGAAATAGAAAACGCTTTACTGAGTGAGGTAAGCCAGACCCAAAAAGAGGAACATGGTATGTATTCACTCATAAGTGGATTCTAGCCATAATTAAAGGTCTTTGAGCCTATTATTCATGATCCTAGAGAAGCTAAATAAGAAGATGAACCTGATGAAGATTATTTAGCTATCCGCCAGGAGGTAGGAAATAGACAAGAGTCCCAGGTAACCTCGGGAGCATGGGGGGGGGTAGGAGGGTTGTCAGAAAGGGAGAGGGTTAGAGAGAAGGGAGTAGGGGAGGATTGGGGAAAGATCGGGCGACTAGGATGGGGAGGGGAGGGAGGAAGGATGGATATGGGATCAGGCAAGTATATACCTCAACTAAGGGAATCATTTTAGGGTTTACAAGAAACTTGATTATAAAGGGGATCCCCGGTCCAAGGAGAGATCCCCAGATGGTTCTCTGGACAGAGGAGAGGGTGCCCGAACCGGCCTTGGCCCACAACCATACTGATGATTATTTTGCATGTCACCATAGAACCCTCATCTGGCGATGGATGGAGATGGAGGCGGAGAACCACGTTGGAACACGGGACCTAGCTCCCTAGGTCCAAATAAGAGGCAGAAGGAAAGAGAACGTGAGCAAAGAAGGCAAGGGCAGAGGAAACCTTCATCCGACGTTGGATGGCGATACAGATTGAGACCCATATTGGAACACCGAACTGAGCACTCCACGGTCCAAATGAGGAACAGAAAGATGA